ATTAGACATCTTGGAGAAAATAGTTTTTAAGATACAATATTGCTTCAAACTTACAACTAAATCCTAACCTGAACAGGTAAATACATTTTGTATTCAATGGGACTAACAGCTGATGATGTTATGAATCACTGAAACATAAAAGAGGGCACAGAAAGTTTTGAAGAAATTCACCAAGGTTTTTGCAACTATTTTAGGCTGAGAACAAATATAATTCTTGAATGAGCAAGGGTTGACAGAATTCTTCACTATCCAGAGAAATCAATAAGTAGTGTCATTATTGATATCTACACGTACCTATGGAGTTTTGGAATCAGAACACACAACACAGAATTGTTGTTGGAGTTATTGATGAGTCAGTCAGATTTATTACAGTCCAGATTTTGACACCGTGCCAGTGCAGGAATGGCGATATATTTCTAAGTCAGGATGGTGAGTGGCTTGGAGGTGAACTTGTAGATGTTGGTTCCCATGTAATTGCTGCCTTAGTCCTTCTAGAATGAAGCAATCATAGGTTTGGTAGCTTCTATTAAAAGAACCTTGGTAAGTTGCTGCAGTGCACCTTATAGATCGTACACACTGCTGCTAGACTCAAATTGGCTGTACACCAACTCAATTTTGAGCCAAGCCATGTTTGATGGGAAGCCCTATTGGTGCTGTGATGACAATGTGCACAATGATGTGTAAGGTGGGAGGACCTGTACCTCTTGCAAGGCAGCAGGCGGCGTTGTGAGACCATAGAGATCTACAGCACTGAAAAAGGCCCTTCAGCCCACTGAGTCTATTCTAATCCCATTTTCTAGCACCTGGTCCATAGCTTTGTATGCCTTGGCTACACAAGTGTACACCTAAAGGCTTCTTAAATGTGATGAGGGTTTCTGCCTCTACCACCCTTACAGGTAGTGAGTTCCAGATTCCCACCTCCCTTTATCTCTTCATAAGTAAAACTCTCCAGCACAGGCAACATCCTGAAGGTTCTGAAGAAGGGTTATTGAAACGTTAACTCTGCTATCTGTCCACAGTGCTGCCAAACCTGCTCAGTTTTTCCAGCAATTTCTGTTTATGTTTCAGATTTCCAGTGTGCCTAATTCTTTATTTTGTTTTAGTGTTTAATTCACTGTGACATCTCTTCTGGGTATGTCCATCTTGAAGAAGTTCTGTTACGCTGTCCAACAGGATCTAATCATTCTTCTCGCTCACCATCATTACTTTCATAGTCACACCTAGTGTTTGACAAGGTATTTGCCAAAACTTACTTCCACAGCCGCATCCCATTCCTCAGACTGCCGCTGGCTCAAACTCACACCACATGGATTCCAAATGAAGTTTCATCTTTCATGTTCTGGTCTCAACTGGATCACAGGTACCTCCGTGATGTACAATGCTGCTCAAACAGTTGCTCTTGCCGCATCCTGAAACCTACCTCAGTGCAATTCATTGCCATATGCAAACTCTCGACCTCTCTCTCCATCGGCATCACCTCGTGCTGTCTCAGATCTGTCCTGCCTCCCAGTTCCACTTTCATTGTCTGATCATTCGACAGTTCTGAAAAAGAGTCACTGAACCTATAACATCTACTCTGCTTTCTCACCACAGATGCTGCCAGACCTGCTAAGTTTCTCCAGAAATTTCTGTTTTGGTTTCAAATTGCCATCATCTGCAATTTTTTGTTTTCTGGTAAATCTCCTCTGCACCCTCTCCAGGGCATTTGCACATTTCCTATAAGGTGGATTGTATACAATATTCTAGCTGTGGCCTAACCAATGTTTTATACAGTTCCAGTGCCACCCCACTGCTCTTAAACTCTGTCTCGATGAAACAGCAGTGCTGCCTTTGTGTCTGGGCGAGGTAGATTGTCTCTGCTTGTTGTTGAAAGAGAATGGTATTTGGGGGTCATCTTATGGTGTAGTGGTAATGTCCCTACCCCTGGTCCAAGAGGCCCAGATTGAGTCCCACCTGCTCCAGACATGAGTAATAACTTCTCTGAGACAACTAATAAACAACTGCATCTCCTCAGTAAAGGGCTCACCTTTGTCCCCCTCGGGGACTGCTTTGCAGAACACCTACGCTCGGTTCGCAATAAACAACTGCACCTCCCAGTCGCGAACCATTTCAACTCCCCCTTCCATCCCTCAGACGACATGTCCATCCTGGGCCTCCTGCAGTGCCACAACGATGCCACCCGAAGGTTGCAGGAACAGCAACTCATATTCCGCTTGGGAACCCTGCAGCCCAATGGTATCAATGTGGATTTCACAAGCTTCAAAATCTCCCTTCCCCCTACCGCATCCCAAAACCAGTCCAGCTCGTCCCCGCCTCCCTAACCTGTTCTTCCTCCCACCTATCCCCTCCTCCCACCTCAAGCCGCACCCCCCTCTCCTACCGACTAACCTCATCCCGCCCCCTTGACCTGTCCGTCCTCCCTGGATTGACCTATCCCCTCCCTAACTCCCCACCTACACTCACCTTTACTGGC